GACTATGATAAGTTGGCAGAAGCTCAGAAAGTTGACCAAGAGATGAACGAGTTGATAAGAAACTGTACAGCGTCATCTCTGGAGCTCAAGTTGGTAGAGTTAATTACAGAGGGTGTTTCTGTGTATTGTGATGTATCCGGAAAGAAACCGAGACCGTTTATTACAAAGTCCTTCCGAGCGCAAGTGTTTGAAATGTTACACAATTTAGCTCATCCTGGTAGAAAAGCAACTATAAAACTAATAAGTTCTCGTTTTTGTTGGCCTAAAATGAAGACTGAAATAAGTCAAATGGTGAAAACATGCATGGCATGCCAAAAGTCAAAAATCCAGCGGCACAACAGGACTGTGTTGCAGGATTTCAACGCTCCTGATCAACGTTTTGAGCATGTTCATATTGATATCGTGGGACCTTTGCCCTATAGTAATGGTATGCGGTATTGCCTGACATGCATTGACCGGTTTTCAAGGTGGCCGGTGGTGGTACCATTGGCGGAGATTACGGCAGAATGTGTGGCTGAGGCTTTAATTAAGGATTGGATAGCGCATTATGGTGTGCCGAAAAGGATTACGACAGACCAGGGACGACAATTTGAATCCAAGCTTTTCGATGAGCTAGCCAAAATTTTGGGGTGTGAAAGGCATCGAACTACAGCATATCATCCACAGTCAAATGGACTTGTCGAACGTTTTCATCGCACGCTAAAGTCTGCACTGAAGTGTAAATCAAGTGTTGAATGGACAAGGGCCTTGCCAATTGTTGTAATGGGATTAAGAGCGGCATTTAAAGAAGATTTGCAAGCGACACCGTCGGAATTAATTTATGGGGTAAATATACGTTTACCAGGAGAGGTGTTTGATGGTGATTTGAAGCAAGTATCGCAAACAGAGTTTGTTAAGAAGTTAAGGGAAACTATGAGCGAACTGAAGCCATTACAAACATCGCGTCATATGACGGAAAAGCCATTCGTATTTAAAGATTTGAAAAGCAGTACGCACGTATTCTTACGTGATGACGCTGTGCGACCACCACTGAAACAGCCGTATGAGGGCCCATATGAAATTTTATGTCGTGGTGAGAAAACTCTAACAATAAGGGCAAGAGGACGCACGATGAACGTCAGCATGGATCGAGTGAAACCAGCATATTTTGCAAATGAAGCTGATGAAGGTTGTTGCCAAGATAGTGTCAAGGTGTTAGATGATGACAGTAACAAGCAGATAGCACCGAAGGTGACTCGAGTGGGTAGAATAGTGCGTTTTCCATTGAGGCTTATGAGGTAGTAATAATGTGTAATACGGATAGAATTTGTCGTGATGCAGCCGTCAAATTCTAGAAGGGGCTGTGTGGTGAGAATCAACAAAGTAGGCTAAAATTGTCAGATTCTCTGATATTTAAAAATATTTATTCAGATTTTTTCAGTCAGTTGATCAGTCAGTCAATTAGTTAGTGTTTCTAAAGTTGTATTAAAAATAATAAAAGTTTGTGTTACAATAAATACTGTTTTTTATTAATAAAAGCTATTTGGTTATTGTAATCACAACAAGCGTGATCTCATATCACAATTTTTATGCTATTGTTTATGTTACATCTTAAGTTTAAAGTCCGAACGTGTTATGTTTATTTTGGAAGCAATTAAAAATTTAACTAAATAACAATTATCCAGAACTACGCAAACGTTTAACAAAACCTAAATATTTTCCATTCTAATAAATTAAAAGGAAAATAATACGAAATAACGGAATGTGTTTGCTAAAGTGAATTATTTTTCAAATAAATTGTAAAAAATTAAAATAAATCAACCAACATTTTTTCTCTATTGAAATCAAGTTATTAAAATCAATTGAACTAATTTTGTATTGTTTTTATGAACTCCTCTACTCACATATCAGCAATGTTTTCGAAAATCCCAATTTTCCAATTCCAAATTCCAATTCCATTAAAATTAAATGATAAATACAAAAAAAAAAGAAAAAATAGAAGTTTACAGTTTCATTGTTTTAAAATATTAGTAGTTAAATTTAAACAATTTCAATTGTTTAAAATATTTATAAAATGTATAATCAATTATATTTAATATGTCATAAACTTTAATCTTGTATACAGCTTAAGGTATGACCATATGAAAAATTATTCAAAATGAAATTCTCAAAACCCCATTTAAAAATTAGAAATATTCATTTCCCGATATACTGATATTTACCTTGAGTTCAGTCCAATTCACATCTAGGACAGTCTTTGACTGCTACACATCTCTAAATGAGATGTCGACGCAGTTCAATATTTCTCTAATCTGGGTTCCCGGTCATAGGGACATTTACGGCAATTGTAAAGCAGACGAGCTAGCCAGACGTGGTGCTTCAGGGAACGACTCGGAACACCTAAACAATCTGGGCATATCATGCAAATGCCCAGATATCATGCAAATTGAATTTAAATTCTTCCTGTGCCGAACTTTTTAACAAAAGATGGGAAGAAGCTGCGATATGCAGGCATCTGTATGCAATGTAGCCACAGACCAACAATAGAAAATCGAAATCTCTCTTAAAGATGTCCCGTAGAGATATCAGTCGTGTAGAAGGTTTACTAACAGGTCATTGTATTCTAGGTAATCATGCTAGGAGACTGAATCTACCGTTCAACCATTTTTGCCACAGTTGTGGTGAGGATGACGAAAGTGCCTCTCACCTGCTTTCTTCCTGTCCGGCAGATGCGCGGCGCTCCTCAAATTTTTGGGAGCTTTCATTTTTGAGGATCTTGACGAACTTCGAGACCTCCCTCTATATAGCATCATAAGCTTTATTAAAGGTTCTGGATGGTTTTAGCCCATGGGTTCTAAATAATACGGTATCACAATGGACCTATAGGCCTAAGTGGATCCCCTGGGATCGCCGGTATAACTTAACCTAACCTACTGGTATTTTTATTATATTTCAAGGAATTAAAAAAGTTTCGGGTAATGAAGCCAGATTGTTCGAATATTCTGTAAAACAAATTTTTTAATTTTAGTCTTCATCCTCTTTTATAACACTATATCACAAATCGTATACAGATAATTACGAAATTTGGTACAAGTTTTGTCAGGTACAGGGTATTTTTATAATAGTTGTTGGTTTCAGATGCGGTTAAGGTTACTCTCTTTTCAAAACACAAGCGCTGGTTTGTTAGCTCACACCCGGTCATGAAAATGAAAGATTTAAAAGTAAACCAAAAAGAATAATTTTTTAAATTATCTGTTTGAAATGTTTGCCAGACTACTTAGTTCATGGAGTTTCTGAGTAAACTTCCATATCTCAATATTGTCGAGCTTGGGCATTTGAAAAAAAAAAGTAATTAATTGTTTCTCCTCTTCAAATTTATAGGGTCTGCACATCTCATTGGAAGGGATAAACTATTTTTCAGCCCAATGGCATGTCAGCAACGTCATGAGTTTTGCTAATTTTATCTTCGCTCTGTTCAATTAAAATTTTGTTCTTGATAAATTGCAAAATGGCAATAATAGTTTGGAGTTATTGCATCCTACAGTAGATTTCCTTTAATTTTTAGTGTTCTGATTATGATTATGAATAAGTTAAAAACCTTCTAAGAAGATAGATATTTATTTTTATATAAGGGATACCTATGGTTCTTATTTATGTAGTAGTTTTATAATTTTAAAATTTTTAATATGAGCTACAAAGAAAATTTGAACTCATACATCGCGTTGTTATGCGCTAAGTATAAGTTTAGCTTAAAGTCGATATGGAGTTCGGAATTAAAAGCGTTTTTTATTTGAAAGCTTAAAAATAGTTTACTATAAACTATTATTATATTATTATTTACTATTCATAATAATCGAATAGAATCAAATTTTTTAAAAATGCGTACGTTTTAATTTGTTTTGGTTTAGCCAAAAGTTCATTTTATTTAGATTCTCTCTAAAGCGGAAATTCTGTATATGATATATAATTACTGAATATTATTCAGTGTTGTGACACATATAAAAAAGGCTGTAGGAAGTTCATAAAATAATAAAAATACAAGTTAAAATAAATAATATACACAGTATTTAAGTTATATGACGTAAAAGACTGAATTAGTTTTAGTTTTATTAATTGTTTATTTAAGCATTTAAGCATTTTATTAATAAATGACTGAAACACACGACTTACACATTAAATGTGTTTATTACATTTTGTTTTGCATCTCTAAACTATTAAGGTGATTAGGTTAATCTTTTTGTTTGCATACCCGTTTTGAACATCTATTATTCCCAGTCCTTTACTAGTTTTGAAAATACTAGTTTACTAATAATATTAAGATAAATAAATAGGAATATGAAAAAACTTACTAATGGAATAGCTACATGGTTTTACATTTTATTAAATAAACATTTATCTACATTATGAATATCATTTCATCCAGTAGCAATCTTTGATTACTTTAACAGATTAAGCTAAATTTTTATGATTTAATCATATTAATATTGTTAGTATTGTAAATGTGAATATTAATTTTAATTATTATTTATTATTTTTAAAGCAATAATAATTAAGTCTAATTATATTTAATGGTGATAGAAACCAGTTTAATTTGAATTCATTATTTTTTTATGTGTTAAAGAAAAAGTGTTGACATGAGGTCTTAAAGTTCCATAGATCAAGTTACATAGACAAGTGCACACGTTTTTACAGTATCTTATATCTTACTTATAAAGATCTTAGAACATAAATCAAATGAAGCACATTTGTGTTAGCAAAAGCTTCTCAAAACTGTGGACTTCAAACTGTTATGTCATCAAAAAAATGCAAAGTTGGCAAATCCATTAAGCCAGAAAATCACTTATTTTTCTTTATGAGATTTTAGTTTTTTATTAGATCTTAACGTGGATAGTATTTGTTATAGTAACTAATAGAACAACCTGTTTAGTATAATAATTTTTCTAATGTTTTAATATATTTTTCTACATATATTTTATTTATATAAATTTCAATAACAAATCTTTACTCTTATATATAAACAGAAAAATCGCTACAATAAATTTAGTTTAATTTAAACCATAGTCGAGAACTTTGAACATTTATTTAAAATGTATGAAAAATTACTTTGCTTAAGTTTTTTACTTTGTGCTTTTTCCGTAATAAATGCTAAATTTCGTAAGTCTTTTTTTAAATTTATCAAATATTGGTTAATATTTACATATAAAATATTGACGTATTTAAAGTGTTTCTTTGAGTGTTACTTTACTTAAGCAAAAATGTGCATAATGAAGTCTGTGAATTTCGTAAAATGTTTAAAATTTAACAACTAAACTAAAATGAATTTTATAAGAAAATATTTATTCATTCAAAACTGCTTACATATATATATATAATATTATAAATTTATAATGTTACATATGTAAGCAGTATCGTTTCAAATAATAGATCTCTATTATTAAATCTAAAAAAAAATAAAATTTTGTTTTGAAATGTAACTGAAGGAAGAAATAAATATCTGATTTTCAATTCATGTGTTAATAAGTTTTAAAAGAAAAATATAATATTTTGTTTTTTAAAAATAATTTTTCGAAAACAAATATAAGACAGATCATAAAATGCTTACGTTACAATAAAAAAGTTATTGAAAGTTTACATTTACTGAAGGTGAAAAGTGCTATAAGGTAGCATAAAGGTCATGATCAATTACAAATTAAAAATTGTCCAAATACTAGCATTATCATACGTCGAGCTGGTTGTAATATGTGTAACTATTTATCCACAAGTACGAGGAATATGAAGTCAAAACGACTTTCTTAGTTAATTGAGAAGAATTCGATCCTCCTTTTACTTCATCTACGTACCCAGTATTTGTCTATGGATCGTAATGAAATAGTTAGTGTACTCAGCTTCAATACATAAAAGTCAAAATTTTACGTGAAAATGAACAGCATTAAGTAGTGGTATGAGTTTCTGAAAAATTAGATGACGGGTGTAATTTTTTTCGCGTAACCGATACGAAATACTTTTGAACTTCAAATCTCAATATCTCAAAAAATAAACTATATCGAAAAACTCACTGTAAAGTTATTATATAGGCAATTGAAATTTATAGGAAATTGAAATCCCGCCATGATTTCAGAGGTCATTACCAATGGTCTCACGATCTTCAGATAAATTCCAAATCAATAAGTTATGTCAGAGTATCTTTACTGATATTTGAAATTAGTTTAAACCAATCATCTACGAATTTTATTATGAATGTAATAATAATGGAATAGAACTGTGAAGATTTATATATACTAATTGTTTTAATATATATTTTTAATACTAAAATTTGTATATACTCAAAATCGAAGCATACTTACGTGGTGTTATCTCTAGAAAATAAGTTGTTTAAAATAATAATAAAATAAATTTATTAGTCATATAAACAACAAGAAATGAGGATTTTAAATTTGATTACAATGGGTTATTATCATAAAAAATATATAGGACTACATTCGTTTGCTTATTTTATTGAAATAACTTTAAAAATGCAAAAATTTTGTGGAGTTTTTAATTTAAACAATTGTTATTTTATTGAATAGAATGTACATTTTTATAGTTTTGAAAGTTTTATGATAATATCAAATAATCAAATTTTTAAACGAATTCTGGAAAAACAATTTTTGGAAGTAAAATTCATTACGCTAATTTTTACAAATACACATTTATATTATGAAAGATAATTAACATGTATTACTTCCATAATTATATATAATATATACTTTTATATATAGAATTATGCAAGTATATATATATATATACATTCATAATATAAGTGTGTATTTGTAAAATTTAGCGTAGATACGAGAATTTATATAGCCGCTCAGTTTACTAAATGAATTTCACTTTGAAAAATATATTTATATATATATATATATATATTTATAATATAATTATATATATAATAATATATAATATAATTATAATATAATTATTTATCCAGAATTCGTTTATATATATATATATATATATATATTTATGTATCAAGGTTGTCCAGACTAGAATCGATCGCGGGCCAATACAAATCACTGTATAGATTGCCGGGCTTCAGAAACAAATGCGTTCATAATTGTTTCCGACAGAAATAAAAACACTATTATAATATTAAGTTTAGTTTGATTAATTTATCAATATAAATTCATTTATTTGTTATATCATAAAAATGAAATAATGTAGTTTTACCAGTACATCAAAAGAAAATTTACGTAATTGTAACAGACTAAAATCATGTCGCGGGCCGTGCTTTGGACAACCCTGCTATATATGATATACATTATATTATACTTGCATAATTCTTACTCTTTCTGTTATTTTAGCTGTAGATCCTAAACCCTGTAAATATGGAGATACGGAATGTATTCTAAAAATAAGTAATTACTTTGTAAAGGAAAAATTTCAAGGTATATATGTATTTTATTACCATTATTGTTGCTTTTTTTACTTTTATTTATTAATTTACAAAATAGGTGACGATGCTATAAATTTGATAACAATAGATCCACTGAAAGTAGCCAAAATCAACATAAAACAAGGTGCTGAAAGCCCGGTTAACATAGATTTGCAATTCGTTAATAATAATATTGAGGGTCTCAAATCAGTTAAAGTCGCTAAGATTAAGTATGAAAAAACTTTGTAAAATTGCAAATAAAAAAATTATGAATATATAGAAGGGTGTGGGAGGAGTGCATCTATAATATTTACCGAAGTACTGGTTGTTTTAGACATTTCAACACAAGAAAAAATAGCAATAATCATCAATATCTCAAAAGCGATTAATCCAAACAGCTTGAATTATATACCTACTTTTTGATAAATGTTTAAAATACACTCTCCCCCTAATAATTTAATTTAATTTTTAGTTCAAGGAATCATTTCCCATACTATGCCAAATAAGTCAGATATAGTCTCTATATGTACATTTATATTATTTCTCTTGTATGTGTTTACAGAGGATTTGGAAATGATCTAACGCAAAAACACGCAATACATTTCATGATGCCTCATGTCAGCCTTGTTGGTGATTACAGTATTAACGGCAAAATTTTGATACTACCAATTAGTGGCAATGGAAAAAGCAATATGACTTTTGGTAATTAATTTTACATAATGCTTTGATTTTTATGAATTTATTTTATTTTTATATATATTATTTATACTATTAGTTAATACTGAAATGATCGTACAGTTTTCTGGAGAGCCTATACAAAAAGATGACGGCATCCACATGAAATTAAAAGATATAAAAATTAAGTTTATACCTGAACGCCTTCATTACTATTTCGGCAACTTATTTAATGGGGATAAAGCACTTGGAGATAACATGAACGCTTTCTTAAATGAAAATTGGAAAGAAATTTTTGGAGAAGTTCAATCTTCTTTGGAATCTGCCTTTAAGCAAGTGGTAGAGGCTGTTTTGAATACCGTTTTTTCAAAGTATCCTTATGAAAAGTACTTTGTGCATTAAAACATTTAAAATACTAAGCTGTGATAAAAACAAAGTAAAATTATTTGAAATAAATATTTTAATAAAAATTTTAAATTTTATTTAGATACCGCATTCAGTTATAATAGAAGCTGATAACTAAATAAACTAAATGAACTAATAAATAATGAAATAAAAAATTTTTTTTCTAACAAGGAACTATAGTATAGAAATTTATGGACAACGAACTGAAATAAGAATAAATAGAATTATTGTAAAAAATGACCTCTCTCATACCTTTAAGTTTGAGATAAAATTTTATGTAACAATAATTAATTTTAAAATTAACGAATCCACTCTAATGAGTTTTTAGCTGTAATATATGGCACTAAGTCTGATATGAACATGGTCAAATAAATAGACCATTTATTAGTTTTTATCTTTATATTTTATATTTAAAATTCATCGACATTTCGAAATAATAATAAGAATTAATTATATTGGTAGAATTATTTTATAACACTAATAATAATATAATAAATAATTTGTCTAAAAAATTATATACTTATATATATATAATGAGACTATTGGGAAGCGTATGCATTCGTCATTTCTGTTCATTATTTTAATAAATTTCTTTTTATATGGAGATCCGCCAGTGTCAATCTTTTGTTATATATCATTTCTCTATCTTTTATTACGGCATTAGTGTTTGGTTGGATTTGTACCAAGTGCTAGACTAACGCATATCGTTTATGTGTATATCGTATATTTTTTATTTTGTTTATCTTTTATTTTGATTATCTTATTCTCTTAATTTCCAATTATCCACAAATTTTAGAATCTTAGCCATATTCAAAAGTGTTATTAGTTTATCTAAATGTTAGAAGGGTAGTTGTTGTTTAGAAGTTTGTGCCTTATTTTTTTAGGTTCTTTATTAGGCATTAGGCATGTTTATCAGTTAGTTCTCTATTTTATTTTTTTTGCATCTCTTTTTTTTTTTGTCGGAATACTGTAGACTGAAGAAGGGCTAGGGTATTCATATTTATCAATGATTTTCTTTTAAGGCGATTTAGTGCAGTTTTTTTTTTCTTTCTTTTTATTAATGCAACTAGTAAATATACTTAAGACTAACAAGCATTTTTAGTTAAATTATTATAAATATTTACGCTAAGGTTTTATTACTTAATGAGGCCAGAGGGTTTTATACGTTTTAATCTCCGTGCTGAGTCAGTTGCTTTGAGTAATTGTAAAACGTCTGCATTTTTATGATATGTAATTTTTGTTACGTAAGCAACAGCATACGTTTTTATGACGCCCTCGACGGGTTTGATTGCTAGATCACGATGTAGGTCTGCACTACGAATGTACCAGGGCGCGTTTACAATATTTCTAAGGGCTTTGTTTTGGAAACGCTGTTTTATTAAAACATTGCTCTTACCGGTGCATCCCCCTAAACTGTATACCGTAAGTCCATAAAGGCTTTAAAATTTGATTGTAAGTCAGAAGTTTTTTTTTGTGTCGATAACATTGAACACTTGCCGATTAACCATTTTATCTGCTTATACTTTAGCTCAAGTTCTTGTTTTTTCTTTTTCACATTCTCTTTCCAACGTAGTTTAGCATCTAAGGTCATGTCTAATTATTTCGCTGTATTTGCATAGGGTATTTCCAGTCCATTTTTATTTAATTTGCAGTGGGAGACCCTTTTATTCGTAAAGTCCACATGTAACATTAAGTCGCCATTGTTTCGTCCACTGATGAACATTATTAATAGCTAGCTGGAGAGTTTTAGTTGATTCCATTTCATTAGATTTAGTGCAGTTGCAAAAGAGTTTAGAAAACAACTACTACTAATTTTCTAAACTAGTATTAACAAAATAAACAAAATATTAAACATGAAAAATAGTCTTATTTAGATGTTTTAGTGTTTATATTTAAATACATACTGCTTCAGTAAAAGAGGCGAATAAGTTACAGATAAATATACACAAATCTATCAAAAATGCTTATCAATGCAATAATAGCTTAAATCTAGCCCTCAAAACAGGCAATGCATCTTTTAAAATATTCTCTAAACGTTAATTCTCTCCAATATAAATTGCAATATAACCATTTTGACAAGATGTTAAATGTAATAAAGCAAAGTTTACACACCTCTGATATTGGTAAACATATACACAACATCAATAAATTAAATTATAGTATTTATATTTCTCTGTAGATAATAAATAGTAAATATTTGACCATATTTCGATTAATAATAATAGAATTATAGTAGTTTCTTGATTAAAAAGAGACTATTGTGTATTCAATTTTAATATATATAAGATATAGATTTCATTGCTTTGTCGTTATCTGCCTTTGACTACATTACTATCCCGATGTCAAGTTTTCATTGCGGTGTGAAATTTCAATTATATTAATGAAGAAAAAACATAAAGTATTATTATTGGTATAAGTTTTATAGCATTTCGCGAGGAACGACCATCATGTTCGAATTTTCAAAAATAAATTTGTGAAATTCCAGGAATCTATGATCAAAAGTTCCATTCTATTCCATTCCAAAAGCTGAACTCTACCTAAAAATTCAAAATAATATATATTAAATGTATTACCCTACTGTAATTTTAAATAATACTTGAAATCAGCTTTATTAACTGCATATTGTTTGTATACCATAAGTTGTACATATTTTTTGAATGCTTTTACATACCATATATTTTGCATATATTTCGCATTTTTTTTACATTTTTTTTGCATACTTTATGGATATTTTTCGTATGTATTTTGCACATATTTTGCACATATTTTACATATATTGTGTATTTATTTTGTATACACAATTTGATAAAAATTGCGATGTCTACCCCTAAGTGAGAGTTATAATTTAGATTAGAACTGTATTGTGAACTCAGTGCAAAAGTGTAAAGTTTATTGGTTTTCTGTTTATGCGGTTAACTATGGAACGTTTTCCTACCCACAGACTGGTTCCAGGAGAATTAATAAATGTAGAGTTTAGTTTTTGGTTGTTTCTTCTAAATTCAAGTTCTTATTAAATCACGTAATTAAGTATCCATAACACTTTATTGAGTCAAACCAAGATTCAATTAATGATAATGAAGATGAATACTTGATTGATTTAGACTATAGATACGTAAAGTTTTGATGGTATATTGTCAGCGTTATAATTCAGTGATATTTAGATACATCTGAATACGCTTTATTCTTACTAAAAACAATGGCTTTCAAAGTTTTTAGTTAAAGTGAATCTATAGTGAATAGTAAACTGAATAATAGCAATTAATAATTAAATTATCAATTCGAAACCTTTTAAACTTTTCTTTTAATAATAAAATAAATCTAAATTTATTGTTAAACAACTTTGTTTTTCCATGGGGTCTATTCTTTGCTTACAGTGATATTCACCGAAACATATCATCAATATGCAGTAATAACTTTCATATTCACAATGTAATATACGAGCTTTTATGAAATAATAATTCCTAGAACAATTTAATAATTTCGAATTGCATAAAATTGAATTTAATATTGAATACTATAATATTAAGAAGATATAAAATTGTAAAATTTATTTCATTGCTAGTAATAAATACTATATACATACGTAGAAATATATTGCTGTTTTTATTAGTGATGATTAATATGATTTTAATATTGTCATTATATCGTTCTAATTAAAAAAAAACAACCTTTTGATTATCTGGTAATTAATATAATGTAGACTGACTTGTTTAGTTTTGTACTACCATAATGAATTATCTATTAAAAACTATAGAAAAATTAATTATATTCATAGATATTTTCTTTATTAAAGTGGTGTTAATCTGTGTCAATATACACGTGTCAATATATTTCATTATAAATAAAGCGACACACATTCTCTATCTGTAGACAATAATATAACTTCACAAGACTCTTTTAATTTAAGTTTAGTTTTGGTTTTGGCAAAGAAACATAATAAATCTACTCAGTTGTGTATCGAGACCCAAATAGTTCAATACCAGTGATAGGAATGTTTTTTTTTCTAGGGATAATCCTTCAAATTATTTCAAAACTGTATTTTAAATATGACACATTGAATGATTGACACATCCATATAGAAAATACTATAAATGTTCATTTTTGCTGTCAAACTACACTACTATTATTTGGGTTTCAATATACATACATATATGTTATACATATATGTTGATAGCAAGTTTTCGAGTCTTCACTTTAATGTGGAAAGTATTGTTGAAGTTTGATATAATATTAAAAATTACTAAATTTGTGATTTCAAAAATTTAGTATTAGAAATTTTCATCAACCAAAAAAAATTAGACATTAACAACGTAAGTAAATTAAGTAATACCCAAATCAAAGTAAATAGAAAATACTAATTGTTTTATTAATTAACCAGTAACAATAATAATTTGGGTGAATGGTACTAAATTTATTTATCATTACAAAGTACAATAGAATATGAAAATTGTTTTTATTTATTAAATTGAACTTTTATACTCGTTTAATCAAACAGCATACTCGTAACCAAATAGTAAACTACTGTTATAATAGTCAATTCAGTTAATCCAAAATTAAATATAGATAATAGCTTTTATATGTATGAATAGTTTTGTAGTTTCTAGCAACAAACCTATGATCACACAGCTCCGTTGTCGGAATATTCTTTATTACCATAAGCATTTTTAATTAAAAATATTTAATAATTATATAAAAAATTTGCTGAAGAAATATTAGCATAAACTAAAATACTTGATACTTTAATATGCAATTCACAGAATAAGATACGTAAATAGATACTGAACCAAGGCCATACAAATTAACTCTAATGTTTATATTATAATTATAATGACATTATAATGAGTTCAACTAAACTCAAAATATTCCATTATTCATTATTCTTTAATAATGAATTTACACAGTTTAAAAACTATACGAATTTAATTATCATATATATTATATATTATAAAAATCACGACAAATCTATGATTAATATGTTGGATAATTTTAATAAATAGAACAAAAAACTTGTCGTTCGAATCATAGATTTTTAAAACAGTACCTTTTGAATACCTTTTAAATAATAGTAACTGGGAGCTAAATCTGTAGAATACGGTGGGTGAGGAAGCAATTCTTACTGTAATTCATTTAATTTTGCGATTTTCATTATCGTGTGAGCGGGTGCGTTAACTTGCAAAAACAAATTTTTTTACTTTGACAAATGTGTTTTTTCTTGATTTTCTCATTCAATCGATGCTATAATATGCAACAGTATTTTGATGTCATTGTTTTTCTTTTTTCCAAACAGTCAAAACTTTTCCAGGCGATTGTTGAATTCGGAAGCGTTTGGAAACACTACCCCCGAGCGCAACTCATCATCTAGCTTGTGGTTTTCTCATCAATTGTCACTACTAGTTGACGATCACAGTCAACTAGATTCAGCATAAACATTTCCAAACAATGTTTTGAATGACAAAATCGTTGTCAAACACGGCACCTTTTTGTCGAAAGCTTTTTCATACCCAAATATTGATTTAAAATATCCGATATATGTTCATATGATATATTTCTCATCTCTGCTGTCTTACACAATTTAATTTTTAGATCATCCAACTCAATATCGTGGATTTGAACGACCCGGACGCTCTTCATCAAAAACACTCGTACGATCAAGTTTAAAATCAGCTTTTTAATACTTTAATGTTGTTAACAAAAAGGCAATGTTACCGTAAAAAGAATCCATTTCCAATTTGATTTCATCATTCTTCATTCCTTTCAAATGGAAGAATTTTATTACTGAACGATATTCAATTGTTTTTTTTTACAAAAAATCGTCAAGATGCCTTATTTTAATTATTTGCAAAAAGCTAACCAAACATCTGATGGAATCGAAGCTTTTACAGACGTCATTTAAATCTTGCCTGATATACAAAATATAATTGATTTTTTTTCTGGCGTTTCCATCTATTGTAATGTTAGGTAATTATCAATCCACCAAATCTTATACTAGATTTGTACTTATCAATTCACATCAAAGTAATTTACGGTCTTTAACAGATTGTGCAAAACATTTTTACATTTTGATTAAAAATCTTGATATTAAAATGCACTTAACTGTAATATTCCTGCCAGTCTCCTAACACTTCACCTATCTAGACATTAGTCATTTAATTTATCATCTTATAAAATAAAGACTATATGGAGTGCTCATGAAATCAGGAAATGATTTTAAAGTGTTACAACCTTTCACCACATATAGCTTAATGATTAATTCAGAATATAGTCATTTCAACTGACAAAAACAAAATAACTGTTATGCCATTTAAAAAAAAATATTATATATAGCCTTTTGCGATCTCAGATAAAAAATATAATTAATATACCCAAATGAACTTATCATACTAATGGCATATTTAATATACAAGTTTTACTGTAATAACACTTTTAGTGCATAAAATTAAATAAAAGAAAATTTTAAATTACCATGATATTACATAAACAATTAAAAAAAATATTTTTAGAGACAGTCATAACAAAATTTACAAAATTCGACTTTATTTAATAAACAATTTATTTCAAATTTATTTTTGTAGCAATTAACACCTGTACTAACTTTTTTATTGCAGTGTAAGATATAAATAAAAATAGTCATAATACATTTATTAAATGTAAAAAAAGTATATGTATTCTGGTTTAAAAAAGCTATAGAATATTTTAAAATTCTATTAGCAATGATATAAAAACGAATTTTATCAAGTTTTTATCGCTCAATTCGAAAAGTCGTTTCAACTTGTTAAGATCGAAGAAAGAATTACAAAGTGTATTTATTCAGAACATTAAAAAGATATCCTTAAATTCATTTAAAGTGTAATATTCAAACAAAATTATTTCAATAATTTTTTTTAAAATATATACTTAAATAAAGAATATTATAAACATGTTTAAAATAGTTTTAAATACTATAGTTTGTTTCATTTTTTTCTCAACCATCAATGCTGCAAATGTTTTGCGTAAGTCCAGAGAGTTAAAACGACTACCATATATTTTTAACTCTAACAAATTTAATATTATTTTAAAATAATTAATTATAAAAAGTTTTTATTTAAAATTACAATTTGTTTTTATGCACTATGCAATATTAAACAGCTCAAGATATGCAGAAATGTGCTAATAGTGATGAAAGCTGTTTAACGAAAACAGGTCAAATGATCGTTACAAATTATGCCAAATCTGGATTACGAGAACTGAACTTAACTCCCTTTGACCCTTTACACATCAAAAGTATGGTTTTGGAAAAAAATCCTGCAAGTCCTGTGAATATTGAACTAAGTTTTAATGACGTCAATTTGAATGGATTACAAAATTTAAAAATCAAAAAACTAAAGTGAGTTGATAAAGAATATTTCTTATAATTTCTGTTGTTTTAAAATAGTGTGTTAACACAAGTTTAATATTATCACTAGAACATTTTCTAATTAAACTAAAATATTTATCTCATTCTAATATTCAATTAATAGTTATAATTTTATATATATAAATTATAATATATATATAATATATACATATATAATTATTTGATTATATATCAAATAAGGAACGGTTTATATTTAATAACTAGTTCATCATTTCATTTTTGTTGCTATTGTGCTGTCTAGGACACTCGTCATGTCTTAAGATGATTATTTAAATTATGTGTATAAATTTGTGATTAAGTGCATTCAACTAATATAATATTAATAGTGTGTTAAAATACATAAACGGAAGAAAATGAAATAAACAATTATCCCTAAAGCAGTTCAACACCACATAAAGTCGCTTATCTGTTTGACTACCCTAACATACACACAACCATCTGAGTCCTATCGATTTAATGATCCGTTCTATTGAGATGGCTAGGGTTACGAACATAGATTAGATCTTACTATTTCCACCCGTCCCTGTATTGCTTTATCCTTTCCAACTCTCTATACAATCCACTCTCATTCCTTTTGCACATGTTTTTACATCTTTTATGTGCTTGCTTTCTAGAATCCGATGGCTTGCAAAAACAATAATGTAATGAAAAAATTTAAAATCTAATAAGTTGGTGCTAAACAGCTCACTGAGAAAATCAAAATAAACTTATAATTGCTGCGATCCTTTCAGGTAATAACAATAACTAATATTCATTAGTGACTAGATTTATACACACAAAAAAATATATTTTTATAAGATCGCATTTGTACATATAATGTAGATGCATAGTCAATATTTCCAACCCTCTAAATATTACTTATAAATTTAAGTAGTTGCTAAAATCACATCGTAACTCACCTCCTTTAGAAAAATCTTTATATTTTACAAATAGTTACTTGTGTAATCATTTTGCTACAAGAACATATATTAGATTAGTGTTGTTTTCAATATCCAGTACTAATGAATAAATAATTCATAAGTCTATTCTATTCATATGACGGTTCTTACTATCACAGTCTCAATTTCAAACAAATGATATTTAATGAGTTTTATTATTAATTTCTTTATAATTACTAATAAATGATTTATTTACTAAATATGTTACATTGTAATAATATACTTCTTTATTTGCAGAGGTCTCGATGCAAACTTTAAAGAAATGACAGAATTAGAGGCGGAAGTACCAACTTTGACTTTAGAAGGCCCATATTCAATAAATGGAAAAATTTTGGTTCTACCTATTGTTGGAAAAGGCGATTCCAAAATTGTATTAGGTGAGAAATAATACATTAAATTGTTTTTAAAAGTTTTAACCTCATATTATTCAACCCCAATCAACATTTATATATTCATTTATTATTTTTAATATTAATACATTAAATAGCAAAATAACATTTAAAAGGAGAATTGGAAAACGGTTAGGATATAGGAAAAAAAATTTTAAAACTGAGTTAAAAAAAATGCGATAAAAACAGAAAAAACAGATAGACACGTTGTCAAACAAACTAACGAGCTTGGATTGTAAATCGATTCGTTTTGCTAGACTGAACAAGTGGGGGTATACTGGGAGAGATTTTTGAGCATTTAAAAACCTTCCTTTAATATTTCAGAACATTTTACATAAGATATAATTTCAATTTTTCAATTAAATATTTCATATGAACTCTAAATTAGTTTTTAAAATTACTTCCTCCACTTAAATGAGTCTCCTTATAGACCAATCGCAAAATTAATGTACTTTATAAGATTCCCGATATCTTGGCATATTAAATAACAATATAATTATTTTCTTTTCACAGACAATATTCATATTGTAGCTAAAATTAAATTTAAACCTGTACAAAAGTCTGGAAAGACTTATGCTGAAGTCGAGAGTATAAAATTAGAATTGAATCCAAAACATGTATCATTCAGTTTAGGCGGTCTCTTCAACAATGATAAGCAACTAAGCGATACGATGCATACTTTATTGAATGAAAATTGGAGTGAGATTTTTAATGAACTACAACCAGAAATATCCAAAGCATTGGGTTTAATTATTAAACTTATTATAAATAATGTTTTTGCAAAATACCCCTATGAAGAATATTTTGCTTAAATACAAACACAAAAAAATACAATTGTTTGTTGAATGATTTGTAATAATAAATATACAATCATTATATTGTTAACTGAATTATGATTTGAATTATTGTTATTATATCTGTTATTATATTTTTAATAAATAAACTCTAATAAAATTAATATACCCTTTTAATATTCTTTATTTGTTTATAAATATAGAAAAAATTTTTTATTCTATAATTCATGAAAATTTTGTTTTTTTTAATTGAAAAATTAAGACGAATTCTTTAAAAATAATTTATTGGTAAGTATCAGATTATTTCCAATATAACGGAAAATGGGCCTATTTACACTATCATGAACGTAACATGAACATGAACTTAAAAACCGGTTACCGATAGATGAGAGAGGGAAGAAAGTGTGATGTGAGTTCATGAATTACACGCAATCACGGTTGCCACTTCAAAATTTTTTTCTGTACCAAAATTGGTTTAAAAAGGTACAATTTCTGTAAAAAAAGGTCCAAAATTTCTTTGGACCTTTTTGTTTTCTCGTTCTGTGTTTTTCATAATGTTATAAATGAACAAAATATAAAATAGTGCAAAGTTGCATTTATAAAAAAAATTAATTGGAAATATCCACAATAAAGTTGGGTCGTCAAAAATGTACCATTTTTTGAACGTGAGTACCAAACGAAAAAAAAAAAAAAAATATACCTGTTTTGGTACTAAAGTACCATAACTGGCAACCGTGCACACAATGAAATTTGATGCGTTTCTTCAGCTTCACACGCATATACATGCAATGTTATGTTTATGTTTACCTTTTAATCACGGTTGCCACATATGGTACTTTAGTACCAAAATTGGTACTTTTTTTCCGTATGGTACTCTGGTACTCGTAATGGTACTTTTTTGAAGCATGAATTTTATTGTTAATATAATAATATCCAATTAAATTTATTTATGGATGCCTTTGTGAACTATGAAACTAATATAATATTATGAATTGATTTAGTAAAAATATTGAGGCTGCAAAAGGTAAAAGTAAATTTCGTTCTGAATGAATTTTAAGACCATATATAATATTTTGTAATGCAAAGAACTATTTGATAAAAAAGATATGCACTATGAATGGTCAATAAAAAATAGTCAGATTATTCAGTACTGTTTTACATCTTCTGTACAATTTATGTATATTTTATTTTCTTATTAAAAAATAATAGAAAAAAATTGGACCTTTTTTACAAAGATGGTACCTTCTTGAACCAATTTTTGTACAGAAAAAAATTTTCAAGTGGCAACCGTGCTTTTAATGCTGAATACTCTCAATTTCTGTGCTCTGCACTACACACACAAGCATTTTATACGTTTACACAAAACAAAACAAATTTCACGCTCATGAGAGTTCATGATAGCAAAGAACATAAAGAAAAGAAACTGAGAGTTGCTTGAGAAATTGTGTATAAAATATTCTGAATAATTCAAATAATATTCAAAATTTTGAGTAATGAGGTGAAAATATCACGCATTACGCATGATCATTTTTTCCCCGGGCTTACTGTTTTGCCCACCCGAATCTTGCTAAAATAAGAGCACTTTTCGAGAAATTTTGTTGTATGTTTTGGTTTTTTGATGTTAAAAATCCCTTAACACATTTGTTTGTGATATTACACAAGGAGGCACAATGATTCAAAATTTCCTCTCAGTTTCTTTTCTTTGTCTTCTTTGATAATATTGTAAACTGAACTGACAGTTCGTCAAGTTCATATCACGTTCATGATAGTGTAAATGGGACCAATGAATTTGTTTTTTTACAAATTTAAGTCATTTTAATTTGTCTTAATATAAAACGTTGTTGTTAATTTTACAATTAAATCAATGCTAACACATTTTTTTTTACAATTTCAAAACGATGACACAATATGTCTGCTTTTAAAACGTGAAGGAACCGTTCCACAATACTATTCACCTGTAACTGATAAGTCGTTGCATGTTTGTGCTTAATCTTTGAAAACTTACACAATTCCCGAAGATTCAAATTGGCGACACAAGTCAAAAATTACAGTCGGAATGCCTACGTTTACCGCCAAACCATCATAAACGCAATCATAGCGTCTTCAACGGTAATACAAGACAATAAAACTGTAACTGACCAATGCAAATAACGGTCAATGCATTTGAAATTACAATGTTTTCCACGTGAAAATGGCAGTGAACCAATGATTTTTTCATGAATATGCTAAAAATGTCCATTCTCGGCAAACGTCTTTGATTGGCGTTGCAGTTTCGATCGCTGACAGAAACCGCCTTTACCTAACAGGGCTTAAGAAATTAATTATTGAATCTATTTTCACCCCAAGGAAACTTTTAGTTTGTTTTTATAATCTTTCATTTATGCCTTCGATACAAAATATTTTAAAACCGGTGCATGGTTATCTATTAAACTTGTTATATTCTATTGTTAAATGTCAACAAAAATTTTTTTTTTTTTTTTTTTTTTTTAAAACACATTTATTTATTGCATCTTCTCTTAAAATGAGACTAACAATAAGTTGTAAAATCTTATAACTAATTACATAATGTTACAAATTTTTATTTTAATTATACATTGTATAAAATAAAATAAAATAAGTAAACCTTATATCACGAACCTCACTTAGATTAATGGGTTAAATTTCATTAGAGTGAATGTTAGGTGGTTTCTTAAGAAAGTGGTTCAACTTTAACAGATTACTAAAAAGGAAGGTGCGGTTTTTACTTCAAGCTGTTGAATATTAATTAACGGATGGACGGTCAGCTCTTTTTAGACGGGAAGTAATATATAGAAGTGCGAGATTTCTTGCTAAGGGATTAACATGCTCTGTCAGCCTTTTATTGTATTTTTTTCTTATATTGTCAAATTCAGCTTTAACTAGGGGAATTTGTAGATCTCGGTGTATACTTTCATTCCTAATATACCATGGGGCACCAGTGATAATTCTTAGTATTTTTGACTGAGCTCTTTGTATAATTTCAATATTTGAAGCACTAGCATTGCCAAATAGCTGGATACCATAAGTCCATACTGGTTTTATGATGCTGTTATACAAGAGTACTTTATACTCTAGGCACAGGGAAGATCTGCTATTAATAAGCCAATGCAACTTAGAGGCTTGGAGCTTCATCTGAATTTTTTTAGCTTCAATATGTTTGCGCTAAGTCAGTCGTCTGTCTAGGTGGATACCTAAGTACGTTATATTATCTGCTTGTGGTATGGGAATGTTGTTTAGTAAAATTTTTGGAGATGTACTCCGATTTAAGGTAAAAATGACGTGTCTACATTTTACTTCGTTAATTTTAATTCGCCATTTTGACAACCATTTCTCCACCCGATATAAGTGAGATTGAAGTTGGTTTGAAGCTAGCACAGCGTTTTTGTTTCGGCATAAAATTGCCGTATCGTCGGCAAACGTTGTAGTGATAACTGAACTACTTATCGGGATATCAGATGTGTAAAGTACATACAATATAGGGCCAAGAACACTTCCTTGTGGAACGCCAGCTTCTATTGGGAAATTATTAGAAGTATATGATTTGCATTTCACTTTAAAGCTTCTATTATGCAGATACGATTCTAAAACTGAGTGGACATTTGCAGGTAATGAACAGCGTATCATATATATGAGTCCATTATGCCATACTTTATCAAATGCTTGTTTAACATTGAGGAATACCGCGGAACAATATTCTCTGAGCTCAAATGCGTGTCTTATTTCATTCCTTATACGATTCACTTGCTCAATAGTTCCATGTTTTTCCCTAAAACCAAACTGGTGGGACGGTATTAAGTTTTGAACGTCAAGGAACGGTTTTAGCTTTAAAAGCAGTGCCCTTTCATAGAGTTTAGAAAGGCATGGCAGTAAGCTTATTTGCCTGTATGAAGAGGCAAGCGTGGGGTGTTTACTTGATTTATAAATCATAATAATCATGAATGTTTTCCACTCTGTTAGATAAAAGCCAAATTTAATTATGGCATTAAAAAGTCTTGTGATAAAATGTATGGCCAAAAGGGGTAAGTTTTTTATCATGATGGGTGAGATATTATCATATCCCGGTGCTTTTTTGCAATCTAACTTGTTTGTGATTATTTGAACAAGATCATTGGCCGTGATATTCATGTCAATAGATTGTGCTGGTGGATCTTGAGTGGGAAAGTCATATTGTCCTGTTGCAGGATTAGGTTGGAACACCTCTTTTAGACAATCAGCAAAAACATTAGATTTTTCTTCATCACTTCGCGCCCAGTTTCCAAGAGAGTTTCTTATTAGAGAATCGGAGTCTATGGGCGAATTTATACCTTTGCTAGCATTCCACAAAGATGAATGGTTTTTGCCATTTGGACATAGGTTTTGAATATAATTATATTGTCTGACTTTGACTTCCTCGCTTAATACAGATCTAAGTCTCCTTTGGGCTTCCTTAAATAAGTTTTGCGCTAAAGGGGACCTAGATTTTTGCCATTCACGCCTTAATCTACGTATTTGTAAAACTAAATTCTCTATGTCACTATTTGTAAGTACTCTATTGAATCTGTAAATTTTATTGCCTTTAGAGGTGGAGTTTTCTGCTGCTGAAATCAGAATTGAGTTTAAAACAGAGGTTGCGTCCTCAATATGAGACTTACACTTTATCTTGTAATTTGTGTGTATGTGTGAGTTAATATACTTTTTATATTTGAGCCAGTTTGTTCTAGGACTTGTAATGCTATAGAAATAGTCATATAACTGAGGACCATCAAGTAAGCAAAATGTAACTGGAGAATGGTCAGAAGACAAATCGCAGCTAGTGTATGTTGAAATCTTTCACCGCCCGCAAGAAATCTTCACTTAGGAGTTAACAGTTAATCCGTAATTGGGTCTCAGTAATTTTGGGTTGTGGGGAAGCGAGGGAGGCATTCAACTGCGATAAAGTTACATTTTTTCCTGTGTGTTAGGCATTTGATGTGGCTTGCATATGAATATGAGCATATGTCCTAGAAAATTTGTTTTTGAACGCCTTCGTATCAAATACCTTGTTACCACCA